CTCTTTTGCTAAACACCATAATTCTAAAAGTTATTGATAGAGCAATGAAAAAACACAGCAACTTTGCAAGCATACAATTTGATCATCTTTTTGAGTCATCCTTTTAAATCAACATGCTAATGAAGTTATTTATTGGACAACATGCTAATGAAGTCATTCATTGGATAGCATAGTATTTTATTTTCATTAGTATTATCAATAATAAAATATTCCACAAAATGCGCCATTCAAGCGGTATTGCAGAAACACTATTATATCAACAATAATATATCTTTACATTATGAAGATTATTTGAAAAATGGGATAAAACAGTTTTGATATTAAACCATCCTTCATTAAAAGCTTCCTGATGCGCGGTACATTTTATTGTTGTCATTAAGATAGGAATGAATTGATGCAAGAAAGTTGAACCAATTTTGAATGCTGATCTTTAGGCATTAATAAACGACGTTTGATATCTGGCATTAAATGTTAAAACTTTAAATCTGCTTCTTCCTCCAATTTTTCATTTCTCAATAAATTGTACCAACTTTAATTGCATTTTCAATAAGTTGTATCAGCTCAAATTTACAAAACTAAAACAGATGACAAATAGCGACTATTTAGGAATGATTTTGATGCCGATTTTTTAAAATTTTGGAGTTCTTTTTTTTTCAATATAACGACGGAAAATTTTGTAAACAATAGCTAGACAATTTTTTCTTGCTAATTCATACACCAAAACTGGAATAAGCAAAACTTGAACAAAATTCATTAATTGCTTGAGAGAATTTTTTTCGGTCATGTTAAAAAAAAAAAAGCTTATCTAGCTTAGAATCGCTAAATAAATGATTGCTATGAACATCAGCGATATATTTGATTAAATTTCGATTCCTTTTTGCACTCAAAGAGCAAACCTTTGTTTACTTCAAAAAACAATGTAATATAATTTCCTATGATATGAATCAAACTTACAGTCTGTCTATTTCATAACTTTGTTGGAATTTTAATTGCATATTTCCCTTTTTGTTTGTTTGAATTTAACTCATATATAGAGGAGTACCGGAACATTACTTTTCAAAAACGTGAGTATAAAATACAGTAACCGATTCAATTTGATAAGGAAAAGAAATCTATGCCGTATTTATTACTTTTTATACTTTCATGGAGTGACAACACCATTCTCTGTTCACTAATTCACATCTAAGATCATTTGACACACTTGAAATAAATTAAATGGATATTGAAGAGTGTGATAAAACTTGTTGATCAAAAATGTACCTGAATGTTTTACTGAACGATTGAATCATATCATTTGAAAAAAATACGGAAAATAATTCAAAAATTTCATCCCTAATTTTGCATCAAAAGGTAGCTAATGCTCCTGCTCGCTTGTTGTGCAATTGGTACTTATATGACTACAATTATTTTTAGCAATTTCGATCATCTAATTGTCACGACATATCTGTTATTGAAGATTCTCTTATAATAATTTCAATTGGTCCAACCTCCGAATGCGAAAGGCGTATAACTTTGAAGATAATAAGTCTTAAATTTATTTTTTGACGATAACAACGTTCAATTTAATCTATCTTAATCTCTCTATATATTTTTAAGTTTTCGCGTCTGACAAGACGTAATTATTAAACACGATAATCAAAACAATGCCTAATGTTGACATCCATTCTCATCGATTGTCAAATAATTGTTTGTTGATAACAACAATAAAGTGCTGAAAAGTCATAATATGAAAAGATGTAAAATTTTAATTGAAAAGATAAAGTCCTAATTTTGGTTTTATCGTCTTCGGAACAAAGACGATTGAAATACGTGAGAAGAAATAACTCAAATTGGTTCATGGTGCCTTCCAGTAAATATTATATGGCTGTTTTACAAATTCAGCATTTGCAAAACCCAACTCTATCGCAAATACTTTCTTGACATTTAGTTCATCACAACCTCATATGGTGGACCAATTGTGATTCATGTTTCAAAAAAAAAGAAGAATCATTAAGTTTATGACTACCGTAGTTTTTCTAGCTGTTTATTGTCCGTATTTTGTATTGCTTGAACATAACTAAGATTCTCCTAATCTTGACTCATTTCTAATAAGGCATGCTGTTAGTTACGGATTTTTATGATAAACGTTGCTATTTTTTACAAAATAAAGTGAACTTAGTGAATTTTGTAAATTTAATAAAGTGATTTTAACGCATAATTCCCAAAGCTTTAATATGCTTGGTAATTGTGTGAAGGAAAATTGTATCACTAAATCAAAAAAAAGTAATCAATAAATCTAATTAAGCATAATAACAGTCAATGTTATTGCTTAATGATTAAAATAAGAATGGATTATGGGAACTTCTTGTATTATCACTTCATGTGGAACGTGTTAATTTATTTCAACTCCCTACGAAATTATCACCAAAAATATTTGAGGAAATGAGGTACTGTCTTCGATGCATCCTTTATATATTAACGATATTGCATGCTGTTATCATTGCTGATGACGCAAACTCCAAGTTTAAGAAATGCTGTAAAGCGTATAAACCGTTGTTACATAATGAAACTGCAGTGAACGAATGTCTCAACAAGTACTGCGATTTCGACACTATCTCACAAACTAATGTAACAATATTTCATCCGATGCATTTGTTGACATATACCTTTGACTGTAACATTTTATCGATTAAATTTTCAAGAGATCAGGAGGGTAGACGAGAATAGGAATAAAAACTAAGTAATTGATTTTCTGGATAAAATTTATTGCATATGAACAAAAAAAAAAAAAAAGACAGAACGATCTAATTTTTCAAATAGATTTATTGAGAATCCTTCTAACCGTTTTGAAGGCAGAGTTGGATACTATTTTGTTTTCGTTTCTTTCATTAGATTCTGTTGTGTGATTTCTTTATCATTCACTTTATAAATGTAAAGCCCAATGAGATTTAATCCAGCTTCCAAAAGTAGGAGAAATTCACTGATTTTTCTTTTTTAAATATTCGGTAAAATAGAGGCTTAGGTTATTTTATATCATTTATTGAAGGTATTATCAATTCTAGGTACTTGTATTTTTGAAACATTGCGATGGTACTGTTGTTGGTAATATGTTTTCTTGCGCATCATCTAATTATGATCACACCCAATGTTGTTTGGTGGGTTTTTTCATTTCGAAATGTTGTTATAAAATTTGATTCGAGCTAATTTTAAATGATTAATTTGACCATTTGTAAAACATTTATAGGATAATGGAGTGAGCGGAAAATGTCTGGAATACTGCTCAGCTCAGGATGGTGTACCTCCAAATTATTTGGACTATTTAACATGCCTGGATTACTTTGATACTATCAAGCAATGCTTCAGGAATTATCTCGAGAAGAATCCTGCTATCAAATCTTAAATGAGTATGGTGTTGATTATATATAAAATAATCGAGTCATTTCAAGAAATTACTTGGAATTTGCCAGACTTACTTTCCCTTTATTATAATATTTGTGGTGCATATTTGGTTGCAGATAATTGGAATTTTATGCGAAAAAAACAAAGGAAACCATGTAAAAGCTATAAATTATATAAAATTTCCTCATTTGGATCACATAAAATTTATCCTTAATTTTTCTAAGTTGTATTATTATTATTATTATTACTATTTTTCATAAACAAATACAACTATATTATTCATAAGCAAACAACAAAAATGCATTATGCATAAAAATAAACTGTTGGTCAAAACTTCCATTTGAGAATTACTGTTGGAAGCAAAAGCGTCTTTTACCTTTAACTTCAATTCTTGCCAGTCATTTCAGAAGTATTTCAAGAAGTAAGAACACCTTCCACCTTTACCATCACTTATTTTAGCAATACTTAAGAGGTTTTCTTTTATCCCTAACCTTAGCTCACATTAGTAAACATTGCAAATTTTTTTCTTTTTGACAATTTTCTCGCAACTCTTGCCGTCTATTTTATATTTGATTCAGTCCACAACGGATTATTGCTAAGTAGCATTATTGTATGAATACTTTCATCGTGCAACGAATATAAACAGAACTAATATAGTTAATTAGTGTCACTTTAATGTCCATTCCTAGATCTGTGTTTTAGATTTAGGAAATGATAATGGTTTGAAATCCCAGTCTTCCCTTATTATCGCCATGTACTATTACAACCCGTATAACTTGCGCTCCAGAAATTGCATGAATTGATACGAAGTTTTTACCTCACTTGCATATTCATCAGACCTTTCACATATTCACTATTACTTCAAACATCGCAATATTTCTTCGATTTGTTTTCTTTTTTTTTTTGTTTAGGAAAATACTCAACCAGCGTAATAAACATAAAAAAAAGCGATTTTCAACCGTAACAAAGATCGAAGGTTATTTTCTACCTCTTTGATTGATAATATCGCAATCTTCGATAATTAAACCATGTATTACGATGAGCTTCTTAAAACAACAGTGAACTCATCAATTACCTTTCCGACAAGGCAAATTAATGACGAAAATAATATGTAAACGAAACCCTTTAACGAGTGATGTCATCTATCCAACCGATCTCACTGAAATACCCCATCAAAATACTTTTGATGAAGCTGCTCGAGTAGGGAGATCCCGGTACAGTTCCGAGATTGCGCAAATGAGCACCTTTGTTAGCATATGTGAAATGGAGCTCTTTGTTAAAGCATATGGACACAATGGACGCACAAATTTAGGTTACATTTTACATTGTACAGTATATTCACGCATACAATCCAATGGCATCAAATTTGTAAAAAAGAAATTACTGATTCATTGCTTCCTCTCGTGATTTTAGCCACAAAAGAATTCCTATGATTCGGATTAAACAAACTTTTTGTAAAAATATTTTGATTGTTATATTTGTTAATTTAATTAACAATGGATGGTTCAAAAATATTCACAATACATGATCAGAGAGAACAAACATCTCTGCATTATTTCTCCATTCTTTCGCTTGATTGTCAGTTTTTGGTACTTTTTATTAATTCCTTTCAAACGATACGTTCAACTACTTCATCACAAGCACAACTATTACTGCAAAATTTGTCAAACAGTTAACGTTGGATGACCTAAAATTTCAAGCAGATCATAGTCACTACAATAATTCAAACCCAGAACCAAACATAATTATCTCAAACTTGTTAAAGTCACAAGCTTTATGAGCTAACCGAAATTCCAGCAAATCTTATATTACATAGTATAAGCGGTTATAATGATTGACTTTTGAAGACAATCAGAATGACTTTGAAAGCGTACGTCTGATTTGAAAGTTTGGTAAATTGGATGCGGTTATAATCCGTATGAAACATTTTTGGATATTATCAGCTATAATAGGAAGATTTGGTACATCCAGACTTGATCCTGTAATAGAAAGCTTGAAGCTACTTTTCTCATCCTATAAATATAAATGATATTTGTAACAGTGAATCTCTCATTGTTCCTTTATGGAAATTTATGGAAATTTGACGCCGACTTTCTGATTCCATCAGGAATCGTGGTTGATAATGCCAGATTAGTCTACTATCTTTAAATAAAAGAAAAAACAGACAGCCAAAAGATTTTATACATGAGTTACATCGGATATAAAACGATTAATAGGCCAGGGAGGGTTGTCGATTTCCGCTGAGGCTAACTCTTTATTGGAAATTAATTATTGTGATGAATCGAATTAATTTAGTTCGAAGGCAAAATTATATGATTTCATATTTTGATGTCTTCAATTATATCAAATTCGTAGCACATTCTGTCGAGAAGCCAATATTTCAACAAAAATTTTTGTCAGCTGTTCTATTATTTCCAACCATGTCATACTTTCTACCACCCATTTCATCTACAATAATCGAACTCGTAATATTGCAAAGCATCAATATTTAAGTTAAAAAGATAGGCTTGTAAAAAAGGCAAGCGCAGTAGCCTAGTAGTAAAAACAAAAAGTTCCTTTGCATAAACCTAATTTCGGTCATGTCAGAACTTTCGAAATAATCTTTCAATGAAATTAATTCAACGGAATTGGCTTCAATGAAATTAGTCTTTCAACCAAGTTACTGCATAATTCTTTTGTAAATAACACATATAATTATGCTCAAATAATGAAACTGTTTCTGCCACACATTTTGATTAAAATACGGCAATATATTTGGCTCTTTCCTAACTTCTACATCAATAATAATGATCCCTTTTATTTGCTTATAGTGAAGATATACATAGATCAAATTTAAAAAAGAAATATCTCAGTACCATTAGCCGATTGCTTATAAAATACGGTTTGAATTTTTGTAATCAAATTATCTCTTCACTGAACTTTTCATGTGTTTGACTGTGGTCAATTTTTTCCGCAGAAAACTTGTGCGATTAAAAAAGAAAATCATTAAATCAGATTAATCAGATATCAGTGTAACGAATATTGATAGGTTTCGTTTGAGAGGGTGATGTCGAAGAAGAGACAACTATTGCCAGCGATATAACGCGAGTTGTAGTAGCGTTAAGTTGAATTGAGTTGATTCAGGAACGATGATTTGAGTTGAGTTGTGCACGCACCGGATTGTAGACAATTTATTGATGACAGTTCGCTCGGTTAGTAATAGGGTTTATATCTCTTAGGAAATGGCAGTGGTTTTAAGAAATGGAAATGGGAGTGGTTTTTTTTTTGCTCACCATATCTCATAGCGTTGAATCTTCCAACTTTTTTATATAGGCATTGATGGGTAGCTTCAGTATTGTTCCATAAAACAATACTAGTGCTTGTCACACATTTGCCCTTTTGAACTTTGGTTGGTATGATCTAGATTGGATACCGGGTATTTTCCTTCGGAAAGTAATATTTCTCCTTCTGTTAATACGAAATTCGTTGTTGACTGGCAATTAACTCCCAGTCATCCATACGAATACTGTATTTCGTTAGTTGCTATCGTTATTTGTCCCGTTGATAGCAGTTGTAACCAAAATAATCTTCTGCGACAGATTTGCTTAATGAACTTGAGGGCCCATACAGTCGCTCTTAATAATTTGGTCCACTTACTAAAGCGATGTATCTCTATGAATTGAATTACTACTCCTACCCGTCTTGGACTGGGACTTGTTGTCATATTCGCGATGATTGCCTTTTCGAATTCATCTTGACCTCGATAACGGAAGTGATCATTGGGGCATTGTGATTCATCTTGGTCCAGCCAGTCAGATCCATTCCACCACTGCTCATAATTTCGTAATTTGCATGGTGAAAGTCCTCTAGTCGCTATGTCGACTGGACTTTCTTGATTGGGGATATATCGAAGTTTAAATTTGGAACTTCGGATCTCTTCCACTCTATTTGTACGAATCGTGGTAAGAGTTTAGTATAATTCATAATCCAGTAAAGAACTCATTTGGAATCAGAACATAATGTAACTGAAGGATTTTTTATTTGTTCATGCAATTGCCTTAATACGAATTGTCCTACCCTTACTCAAATCAATACGGATAGTAATTCAAGTCTGGGTATGGATAGACCTTTGATTGGAGCCATTCGAGATTTTGCGAAGATCAAAGATGACGTCGACCATCCTTCAGGCATACAATTCCGTATGTAGACGGCTGCAGAATATGCCACTTGGGATGCATCTGTGAAGACATGGAATTCTGGGCTCTGCAATGGATTTATTACATGCCTTGGTAGTTCAATTACATTTGTTGGCCATTCATTGATAAGATTTCTCCAATATTGACTATCCGTTTCACTCAAAGATTGGTCCCAGGAAACATTTTGTTTCCATAAATGCTGAATAAATAATTTGAGTCTTACCATAACTGGGACAAGATAACCCAATGGGTCATATTGAGAAGCTATAAATTGTAGGATAGTTCTTTTCGTGAAGAATTTTCCAATCGACGATTTGAGTGTTAAGCCAATTTTATCTCGTTCGTGATTCCAATTGATTCCCAGAAAGTTGTTTTTTCCCGGCTTGCTTAGATCACGATAAGATATTCTTTCATTAAACCCTTGGTCGTTGGAGAGGAATTCTCTAATGTTCATCGAGGCTTCTTGAAAAATGACTTCCATCTCTTCATATTTCCAGAAGGCTTCTTCTGTATGAGTGTTAAGTGTTAAGCCAATTTTATCTCGTTAATGAAAGAATATCTTATCGTTTTTGCTAAGATTGTGACGTTGTCCACACATAAGTTCTGGCGTATCTCCTTTGCCAATGCACTGCCAGAATTTCCCAAATGATAGTTGAGTGTTGCAGGCAACAAGAAGGGCGATGAAATCACTCCAAAAGGAACACTCTTGAAGCGATAACATTTCATATTCTCGTTGTTGACTTCCTGATTGATGTCCTTTATCTAGAGAAATCGCGCACAATTACTTTCTTCTTCTTGTAATCCGATTTGTAGAAATGCTTTCTCT